TTCACTGTGTTAGCCAGGATGGTCTTGATCTCCTGACCTCATGATCCTCCCACCTCAGCCTCCCAAAGTGCTGGGATTAAAGGCGTGAGCCACTGCGCCTGGCTAATTTGTGCATTTTTAATAGAGACAGGGTTTCACCATGTTGCCCAAGCTGGTTTTGAACTCCTGGCCTCAAACGATTCACCCTTCTCAGCCTCCCAAAGTGCTGGAATTACAGGCGTGAGCCACTGTGTCAGGTCTTTAAAAAAAAAAAAAAAAGTGTTCTTCCCCATCTACAAAGGAGAGTCTGGCTGGGTGCAGTGGCTCACGCCTGTACTCCCAGCACTTTGGGAGGCTGAGGTGGGCGGATCACCTGATGTCAGGAGTTCGAGACCAGTCTTGCTAACATGGTGAAACCCTATCTCTACTAAAAATACAAAAATTAGATAGATGTGGTGGCGTGTGTCTGTAATCCCAGCTCTTTGAGCAGCTGAGGCAGGAGAATCGCTTGAACCCAGGAGGCGGAGGTTGCAGTGAGCAAAGATTACACCACTGCACTGCAGAATGGGCGACAGGGTAAGACTCCGTCTCAAAACAATAAATAAATAGGCTGGGCGCGGTGGCTCACACCTGTAATCCCAGCACTTTGGGGGGCCGAGGCAGGTAGATCACCTGAGGTCGGGTGTTCAAGACCAGCCTAACCAACATAGACAAACCCCGTCTCTACTAAAAATACAAAATTAGCCTGGCATGGTGACGCATGCCTGTAATCCCAGCTACTTGAGAGGCTGAAGCAGAAGAATTGCTTGAAACCGGGAGGTGGAGGTTGCGGTGAGCCGAGATTGTGCCATTGCACTCCAGCCTGGGTAACGGAGTGAGACTCCGTCTCAAAAATAAATAAATAAATAAATAAGTAAATAAATATAAAAAGGAGAATTCTCATGAAATTTTCAAAGAGGCATGGATGAGAAAATAATTGTTGGTGTCTGTGCAGCCCTGGGCAGGGGAAGACATCCTGCTTCTAGAAGGCTGCTGCCGGTTGTCTAGACCAGAGTTGTCAACCTCAGCACTCCTGACATTTGAGGCCAGACCATTCTTCGCGGTGGGAGCTGACTGTGCACTATAGGATGCTTAGCGGCCTCCTTGGCCTCTACCCACTAAATGTCAGCAGCAACCCCTAATTTTTTTTTTTTTGTAGAGACGGGATCTTGCTGTGTTGCCCAAGCTAGTCCACCTCCCAATATTGACAACCAAAAACGTCCCCAGACCCCAAGTTCCCCTGGAGGCAAAATTGCTCCTGGTTGAGAGTTACTGGTCTAGAATGAAACATGCTTAGTGGTCACACACTCTAGTTTGTTCCAGTTCTCTGCTCAATCAGCAGTTTCCTCACTGCAGGGTGGTTTCCAGAGCAGACATGCCCAGCCGAGCAAAGGCGATTCATGACGTCGATGATATTCAGATTTCATAGACCTTCTTTCTACCCCTCCCCCAAGCACTGCCCCAACCACACAGTATTCTTTTATTCTTTTTAATTTTTCTTTTGATTAAATAGAGGTGGGGTCTCACTATGTTGCCCAGGCTGGTCTGGAACCCCTAGGCTCAAGCAATCCTCCCACCTTGGCCTCCCAAAGTGCTGGTATTATGGGCCTGAGCTACTGTGCCCACCCAATACACACTATGCTTTTTCTTTCTTTTCTTTCTTTTTTTTTTTTTTTGAGACAGAGTCTTGCTCTGTCGCCCATGCTGGAGTACAGTGGCAAGATATTGGCTCACTGTAACCTCTGTCTCCTGGGTTCAAGTGATTCTCTGGTCTCAGCCTTCTGAGTAGCTGGGATTACAGGCACGTACCACCGTGCCCAGCTAAGTTTTGTATTTTTAGTAGAGACAAGGTTTCACCACGTTGGCCAGGCTAGTCTCGAACTCCTGCCCTCAGGTGATCCGCCCGCCTCGGCCTCCCAGTGCTGGGAATATAGGTGTGAGCCACCACGCCCGGCCCACACACTATTCTTGAAATGCAAACAGGTCCCCACCATTGGTATAATACAACCCTCTCCCTCAAACCCCTATTACAGAAACATTTTTGTTTAATCCCAATTGCTGTCTTAAAGAATCAGTAATGGCCAGCTGCAGTGGCTCACGCCTGTAATCCCAGCACTTTGGGAGGCCCAGGCAGGCAGATCCCCTGAGGTCAAGAGTTCAAGACTAGCCTGGCCAACGTGGTGAAACCCAGGCTCTAGTAAAAATACAAAAATTAGCCGGGCATGGCGGTGCGTGCCTGTAGTCCCCGCTACTTGGTAGGCTGAGACATGAGAATCGCTTGAACCCAGGAGGTAGAGGTTGCAGTGAGGTGAGATCGTGCTACTTCACTCCAGTCTGGACGATGGAGCAAGACTCT